GTTGATCCTTTCGCAGTGTAAAGCTTGTATATAGCCACGGTTGGGATTGCGGCAGTGGCTGACATTGCGAAAAATAGGCCAACAACGTTGGCTTCAAAGGGAAAAACGTAGTCCTGGTACTGTAGTGGTCCGTAGTTAATGAATGTACTGACAATAATCCCCTTAATAAAAAAAAATTAGTTCTGATTTCCAAGTTTTTATGTGGAACATGTTCTCAGTTTTTTTGTTAAAGATATATTGGATTTGAACTGCTTGGTTAATGCTTACGAGTAGGAACAGCGGAGAAACGATGGTCCAACATATTTTCCAGTACCAACCAGGTGTAAATCCAAGCATTTCTTTGATGTCAATTACGAACTGATTTATACCTGAACAAAGACGTTTAGGAAATGGTTAGAAACGACATTATTATATGTTCGTTGACAGTACATAGTTGGTGCTTGTTTTTTCAAGTATCCGGTATGTTTTTGAAGCCTGCTTGGTTGTTAATTCAGTACACTCAGGCAATAAAAAACTGCATTTCTAGATTTTTAAAGGGTGTTCAGTCTTGTTCCATGCTGCTGTATACAGTTTGATTCAAAAAGAGCAAATTGAATCTTTCGGTTAAATGATATTCTAAGCTATTCTTTTTTGGTTACATTGGTACTGGTAGTGACTATCTTGCAGTGAAACAAACAGCATTATTTTTTGAATCACAGCTAACAGCATATTTGTGACGAAATTAGTTCATCAAGGTAGGATTGACGAGGCCAAAGGGGTGACTTTTCTTCACCAATAGTTGTGGCTTTTGAAAGCGATCTGCGAGAAGAGGAATGATGAGGTTTCAAGTTTTTGCGAACAGTCTACTCTTCTGAAAGAGTCCGGGAGCCAAAGTTTTTGCAGAAATGGAAATCCAGAAGAGTTTAGAGTTCGTAATGTTTAGGCCGCACAAAAGCTGCAGGGCCACTTTTTTAAGAACAGTAAAAGTCTGTCTCATTAGCTTGTTTTGAAGGCTATAAGATAACCTTGGCCCAAATATTATAAAGAGGCTCTCGAAATTTAGGAAAATAATGCTTTTGAAGAGAAGTTCAAAGATTACGTCTGAATAATTTGTTTCTTGTAGGAACACATCTAAAGTACTTCTAAAAAACGCCGGGATTGTTTTAAAGGAGTTTCTTGGGAAAAGCATCAGTTCTTAGCATTGGAACGGCTTCATGTGGTTTTTTTGCCCTATGCAGCTAAAAGTGCAATTTGAAGTTTGTTTTCTAAGTAAAAAGGAAGAGGCTGGAACTAAGGTGGTGAAGGATTTTGCTTGAGGACGTAGCTTACAGTGGATCTCAGACCGCTGCGATTTCAACTATTTTTTAATAGTTCCTTGCGATCCTTAGAAGATCGTTATGAAGTTTTTAAATTTACGCCTACTTGGCCTAGACGTTGATGGCTTGTTCTTATCTTAAACAAAACGATTGAAAATGAGTAATCAATTACCGTAGAAAAAGGCAATAACAATTGTTTCACAAAAGACTGCTATCAGTAGTCCCCAGTTTGTGCCGTAGACAATTAGCCACTCCATAACCAACATGCCAGCCTAAAAAGTTTTTTGATCATTAAAAAGGTGATTTAGATTTGTTTTATTTGACGTATCAACAGAGGAGATATAAGTGTAGTAGGCTTATTTTTAGTTTTTGTCCTTGGCGGCTTGATCTGTTTAAAGCATCTTAACTTACATTTGTACACATGGAAAGTCCAATGATCATGTAGAATGTGAATAAACAAGCTATGAACACCTCTCTCTTTCTTTTTACTAATGGAAATTCGTCGCTCAGTGCAGTTATTATTGCTTCCGTTCCACCGAACTGAAATCATTACTTAGACTAATTGAAAATAATTGTTCAAAGCATATGCTTGAAACTATCATTTTTT